CCTTAACAGCCCAAGCTGACGAACGAGCTGGTCTGAGATGACGGAGATTTCCGACCCTGGATCGATGAGTAGACGAACCTGATGAGCTGGCTGATCTGGGCGTACCAAAAGCGCAAGGCTGGTAGCCAAAAGGACCCCAGGGCGAAAGTCTGGAGCGANAATGAGGTTGTGAGCTGGCCGAGAGCATAGGCAGAAACTCTGAGCTGAAAGTGAGAGCAAGTGGACTGTATTGTGAGCCGAACCTTGCCTAATGCCGGCCCAGATGCCGTGTCTCCAATCCCCGATATTCGTAGCTGTATCTTGAGCCTTAACAGCCCAAGCTGACGAACGAGCTGGTCTGAGATGACGGAGATTTCCGACCCTGGATCGATGAGTAGACGAACCTGATGAGCTGGCTGATCTGGGCGTACCAAAAGCGCAAGGCTGGTAGCCAGAAGGACCCCAGGGCGGAAGTCTGGAGCGGATCCGGAATCTGAGTGGTGACCTGAGCAGGAGACGGCAATCTGAGCTGGTGATCTTCATTCCGACGACGTTGACTGGCCTTGGTCACCAGTCACCACCATGGGGATGTCGTTCTCGTGAGTANTTGCGTGCGTTAGTGTGAGGGACCTGTCAGCTGACAGGATTTCCAACAACAGCAAATGTCTGAACAATTCCCAGAAGAACTATTGTGTTACTCAAAAGGAACTTCTAGCTGTCGTCAAAGCCTTTGAATCCTTCTCCCACTATCTTTTGGGTAGGAAATTTTTGATCCGTACAGATCATGCTANTTGAGCGGCAACAGTAATAACACCGAAGAGTCTTAATTTAGTAGGTAGCAACACTGAGCGATTACGTTGAGCAGGCGCGAGAATTTATTGAAAAATTCAAAAAAAAACGAAAAAGAGTTGGAAAATATAAAGGGAGCGGTAGCCAAAAAAAAANATTGCTCGATGGATTGAATTCCTCTTCTCGTATGATTTTGAAATTTCTCATCGTCCTGGACATCTTCATGGCAATGCGGATGCTCTATCCCGCCGTCCTTGTTCTTGTAAATCTTGTACGAAAGCAAATACTGNTCCGCAATTCGTTTCCGGGATCGTAAGATTCGCGATGCGTTGAGCTGGCTGCCCTGAGAGACTAGTACGAAGATAATGCATCTTCTCCGATGGAGCGGANTAGTCTTTAGGACTATCTGTTCTTCTAACAACGATTATAATTGGATTAAATTCCAAGATGAGGATTCTACTCTCAAGGCAATCATTCAATTCAAGAAATCCAAATATCATCCTGACTGGAAGGAAATTTCCCATCTTCATCCAGATTTTAAAATTTATCTCCTCCATTGTGATTCTTTAGAATTGAGGAACGACATTCTCTTCCGTCGTTGGGAATCTCCGGATCGCATCAAGTTCTTTTATCAGGTTGTCATTCCTAGGAATCTCGTTACTGAGATCCTCTCTTCTGCTCATGATTCACCTTCTAGCGGTCACTTTGGGATCAATAAAACTCTTGCGAAAATACGTCAAAACTTCTACTGGGCTTCTTGCAAATTGGACGTCGAAAATTGGTGTAAAAAGTGCAGAATTTATTTTTCGAGAAAAGGTCTTCACGTCAAAACCAAAGGTGAACTTCAAATTTATAATGTTGGCTTCCCTTTTGAGAGAATAGCTGTTGATTTCCTAGGACCTTTCCCCAAATCATCTTCAGGTAATCGTTTTATTCTCGTTATTACGGATTATTTCTCTAGGTGGCCTGAGGCTATTTCTCTGCCGAATCAACAAGCCACCACTATAGCTGAAGCGCTCATCAAGGATATCGTTTCACGTTTCGGTATTCGTCTAGAAATCCATTCCGACCAAGGTCGAAATTTTGAATCTGCTATCTTCAAGGAGTTGATGAATATTCTTGGCATTCACAAGACCAGAACTATTCCACTTCATCCTCAGTCCAATGGGATGGTCGAATGCCTCAGTAGAACAATCACTAATTATTTAGCTAAATACATCAATTTCAATCAGAAAGTTTGGGACAAATGGATCCCACTTTTCTTTATTGCTTTTCGTTCTTCGAAACATCAAACTAGCGAATATACCCCTGCTATGCTGATGTTAGGTCGTGAGTTGAAGCTTCCCCTCGATCTGATTAGAGGTTCTCCGCCTAGTGATAAATTTGACTCTCTCCCTGAATATGTCAAATCATTAAAGAATCAACATGACTCTGTTCATCAGGACGTTCGAAATAAACTTCAGATCAAAGGCGATCGAACAAAATCGGAGTTTGATCTAAAATCTCATATGATCTTTTTCCAACCGAATCAAAAAGTTTGGTTTTACAACCCTTGTAGAGTCAAAGGAAAATCCCCTAAATTGCAGTGTAATTGGGAAGGACCCTGCACAATTTAAAATAAGTTAAATGAGGTGGTTTACCGCATTCAAAAATCCCCTCATTCTAGACCCAAAGTTATTCACATCAACCGAATTGCTCCTTATGAGGATTAATGCCTGAATTTTTTTTCCCCCATTGAATTGACAATTATTCTCTGATTCAATTTTATAAATTTCCTTATTAATTTTCTGTCAATTACTGGCCATAATTGACAGAAATATCATTTCCATCTTGTCATTAATTTTTTTTGAGATAGTGAGTGCGCATAACTTCTCAATTTCTTTATCGATTCTTTCAGAGAATAATTTTCTATTCTTCATCATTCCTTTTCATTCCTTTCCAATTCGATTCTGCCCGATTTTTGATCTCCTTTTTCAGATCTTTCCCTGTTCGAGTCATTCCTGTTTTGACTTGACACACACCTATGGCAGTTCTGTCGACTTCGTTCCTGATTCCATCTGCTTCGAAGATCCTGACGATTTGAATTTATCTCGAGTCATGTCCTATGATCTTTTGTATTTTCCGTCTGGGTTTTCGAAGAGAATGTGGGTTATGGGCCCCAGATAACTCAAATATCAGTTTTTCTTTGAAACTGATATTTCAGTGGCTCATAATAGGTTTATTTGATTGTCGGGACGACAATCTTTTTCTAAGGAGGGAGTAGTGTTACGAATGTTCGTTGAGGTCTCGCATTCCAATATGCTGATATTCTTTTCTTTTTTTTTCCCTTGAATCCTCCTCTGAAGTTAGTGTCATTCTATTGTTTTCTTATTTTATGTTTGTCTTCGGGTTTGCTCATGCCATATTTTCTTATCGTCTCTTTTATTTAATAAACTCTTTCTTTTTTTAATTCCACGGCCTTTTCAATATTAACACAAGGAAAATTTTGACGTCAAAAAAATTGAATTCAGTTGCGTAGTTTTCGAGATATTGAGGAAAAAATTTTTTGAGAAATTGCTGTATCTCGGAAACTACTCGATCGATTGAGCTGAAACTACGCCCAGAAATGCTCCAAAGTATTACCACTGATATAACAAAATTTCAGATTTTTAGCTTCAAATTTAGTCCTTTTTCTGTGAAGATTTATACAAATTTTCCGAAAAATTTGCAGAAACATGTGGACACAGACACACACATTTTCTAAAAACATCATATCTTCACGTTTCATGACATTCTACATCATTTCCAGGCAAAATTGGAAAATTGGCACAATGACCAATTACAAAGCTTCTGTTCGGAAGCAAAAAATCAATAAAATCCGAGTTTTCTATACATCGTCAAAGATTTTTGGTTGTAAGTTTTTAATGAGAAAATAAAAAAAATAGAGAGAAAAGAACTTGGAAAAGCCATGTCGAGGAATCCCTATAGTAAATGTCTCAATAGAAAAACGCGTAGTGAAGCTACGGAATTCGTCAATAGAATCGGTCAAAAATTAAGAGAATTTTCAATAGAAAAAAAATGCCAATTTCCAATGATGAGTCCTTTTTTTTTTCTTCAGTGTGCTGTGCCGATTCCTATGGTGAATTATAGACCTTTTGCATTTAATTCGATTCAAATTAAAAACGTTTACGTAGAGTTGATAGGCCGTTATCGTTGAATTCAAAGAAATGGGGGAAATTTGGCGGCATACAATGCGAAATAAAAATGTTCAAATTGTTTCGATCTTCCACAAGACTTTCAATATTTTTGTTCATTATCATTCAACTTCCATTTAATCATTCTAACTTTTCACTAAGATAATTAAATGGAACAAGAGATATGCATATTTTATTTGTCCGATTGAATTCTCTGTTATTCTACTTGTTTCACTGATTTTTCCCCTTACGATGTGGTGAGGGGAGAAGATATGAACTATCGGAGAAAGTACTGGGACTTACCACGTATAAATGGGGAGCTTCTGTCTACCGTAACATGTCAACATTGTTCACCCTCCCGTCTGAATCAACACTCATAGATCTACTGAAGAGAATTCCATGTCCCCCCGGACTGAATGAAGTCATGATGAAAAAATTAGAAGAATTCGGTGAAAGCCTTAATGGGAGCGAGAAACTTTCTATCATATTATGGGATGAAATGAAGTTGACTCCCCAACTGCAGTACGACAAAGCTACTGATAAATTTATCGGGTTCAAGCCTACCTCAAAATTCGCAGGTCACGCCCTCATTTTTTTACTACTAGGCATTAAAAGCGGATGGAAACTCCCTGTCTTCTATGGTTTCTGTGATTCCCAAACTAATTCTTTCACATTGATGTGTTGCCTTAAGAAAATTGTTAATC